ATGATATCTTCAAATTTATATTTTATTCAAAAATAAAATCATTATTGTTTTCTTTAAAACGCATAAAATCGTATTATAACATCGATAGAGACAAATAATAAAATRRAACATTAAAATCAAKATGTGTCTCGCTGCATTGCGCGAGTACTCTTCTAGTATTTATATATATAAAACTCTTTGAACTGGGTGGGCCTTGGGCCTCGGGCCTTGGGCCTTTACTTGACTAAAAACGTTTTTTTCGTAAACTAATTTTAACCATCAAAATTGTATAACTAACCAAGTCAATTAAATTTCTCGTCTTGTCGGAAAACCCTAAACCCGTCCAACCTCGTCAGATTTGTAAATGGGTTGTCTGAGATGCTTCTAAGGGTACGAGAGTATTCATCGTCCGAGCAAAATATATGGCACGATGAAACAAGATCTCCTACGCGGCTACGCCGGCTTCTTGATCGACTCAAGATGATAGATTGAGTCATCCATTAAAAGCAATATAGAGCTTCGTTAGGGTTCTATGTGACAACGAGAAATTGAGGTAAAAACAAGGCCTAAGAATGGGTCGACAGCGAGACCACAAATGGTTGTGTTGGCCAGGGTTCAAAGAAATCCCACATGAGAGGTCGTCCGGAGCAAGTAAAAAAGTGAAGATAGAGACAAAAATGACAAGGCAAAGTAAAGATGTAAGCTAAAGATGGAAGAAGAAACATACATTTTTTTAATAGTAAAGTAAGAACAGAGTAAAACAACCACAATGTCTATGACTTAACATATTCATTAAACGATGTTAGTGTGAGGGATCAAAACTAGACATTTTTGCAAAAAAAAAAAAGAAAAAAAAAGGAACCAAATAGTAACGGCGGATCTAAGATTTTTGCCGAGCGGTTGCACTTTTAAGGTGAATCAAAGGTCTGCAAAATTGTCCCGATGTGTTCATAGCAGAATTCTATCATTTCAAGGCACTTTTAGGTTTTGTGGTTAATTTCGAGGAATTTTTTATATTTCTTTTGTTGATTTCAAGAGTCTTTTTTTAGTTTTTCGGTTCATTTCGAAATATTTTTTATAGTATCTCAGTACACCTCTTACAATTTAGATGATGCACATTTCGTAACCAAAAATATATTACTGAGTATTATGAATATTGATAAACACGACGACGTTCTCCATTTTTGCAAGAAACACAATTTTAAAAGGCAATAAACTAAAAAGGAAAAAACAAATCGCTAGAAGGAGGGGTTGAACCTCCGACCTTGTGGTTAACAGCCACACGCTCTAACCAACTGAGCTATTCCAGCTTTACAATACCAGTCTTACTTTAGATCTATATCAATACTACTTAAAATAAGTTATAACACGTTGTCGTTTTATCTTTCATTCATTTGGACAGATTTATATTATTCACGCTAATAAATAAGCGAAGCTACACAAAATACCATCTAATTTTTAACATCCAAAATTATTAAAATCTTTAATTATAAAAAGTTGCTTATAAACAAGTTGAGAAATTACTCTTGTTATATGATTTGTTCTGTTTTGTAAGAAAATTATTAGTTGTGTATCCGTGCAATGCTGCGGGAGCCGTGAATATTAATGATTTTGAAGTTTCACTGATTTTATTATAGAAGATTTAAGGATGATATAAGGTACATTTGATCTATACATATTAATACAATTTGAATAAATAAGAGTTATGGTTTCAATTACAGTCTATCAACCAAAAAAATTGTATGCAATTTAAAATCCAACATATTTAAACGACTCCACAAATGTGTTCGATTAACACCAAGAGCAAAGAATCAAGAGATCGAGAGCGAGACCGAGAGTTTTAGAGCAATTGAATGAGTGAACTTTTAATAACTCATGGTGAATATTAGTTTGAATCTCATCTTGGGGGATGGGAAGAAACATAGAGGTATGAGAGGGTGAAGTCATGAGTGAAATGTGTCAAAAATATCTTGAAAACATAAAAAGAAAAGGTAATAATGTGCATTGGTAACTTGTAATATATGTTATTTTAATTGTAAATTAAAAGATTTTAAGACTGAATGTATAAAGTAGTAATACTTAATGCATTATGAGTTATTTTTAAGCTTTTAAGACTTTGTGCATTAAATTTTTTGTTTTTAAGACTTTTGATAAATCTGATTTATAATGTAGCATAGATTAAGAACATCTTTAACAGATAATTTTTTAAAATAAAGAATCAAACGCATACCAATTAATCATGAACTTGTAATTTGTAACTAGAATATGAGATCGTGATTTATTCTTAATTTAGAAGGAAAAGACTCGGTTGAATGTCAAACGCATACCAATTAATCATGAACTTGTGACATTACTTGCCACTAGAAACCGTAATGTTTACTGTTCATGTCGTTTTTTCATGTTACAGCTAAAATTTTGTTTATAATTAATCATTATAAACCTATCGCTCGTTATTAGTTTATCATTTCTGATAGATATTATAACCATTTGGTTAATAATAAACATGTTTTTAATAAAATATATGTAAAATCAAACAGTACAACTTTAAAATGTCAAAAATACAAAATAACAAGTTGCAAAATGAATACATATTGCATGAGTTGAAATTATCGATAATTCTCGTAGAAATGAAGAAAAAAAGGAGGTTTGGGGCACTACTGAATGCAAATCATATCTGATAAAATATAAGTTATGGGTTTTAATTACTCAACTTGCAAATAATATAATAAGAATTTTGAATAATATTTGACTCGTTAATTATTACTAGAAGGGTACTCGTGTAATGCAGCGAAATACATCTTGATTTTAATGTTTTGTTTTATATTTTGGGTCTATCAATGTTATGCGATTTTATGTGGTTTTGAAAAAGAGAAAGTGTTTTTATTTTTGAATAAAATATAAATTTGAAGATATTATAAAGTTTTGATAAAAATAAGCGATATTAGTATCAAATTAATTATTTAAAGGTTCTCGTTATTTTATAATTTATTTAATTCAATTCTTTATTATAATCTAATTGAATTTTAAAAACGAATTAATTTATTTTTGGTTTAATAAAATAAT